TGCATCCTGTCAGGAAAATAGGAACTAAGTCATAGTGATTTCAGCAGAGGGAATTTAATATAGGAACTGGTTACACCAATGTCAGAGGGCTGAATGAGGAAGAAGGGTATTTATTGAGATCACCAGAAATAACAACCTAGGAAGCAGCTACCCCTAGGGCTGAGAGAACAAAGGGACAGGGCCAGCCTGGGTTACAGACCTAGAAGCTTAGAGGGAGGGCCCTGGAAAGCTGGGGCCCAGGCCTCTGAGAGGGGGTGCTGGCATGCCACTGCTGCTGCTGCCTCTGGGAGGCCTGATGAGGCTGGTTCTGGGAGAGCTTAAAGAACACAGAGGTGGAAGCCCACTGCTGCGAATCATTGCTGAGGTCGTGTGCCAGGAACAGCAAGCAAACTCAAAGAAAGAAGTGCCTTCCCCCTCCTCCTGTTTCCCCTTCTCCCTCTAAACCCCTTATTGACAAAACCTAGCAGAAAGCCAGGTAGTAAAAGAGAAATCTAGTTTGTGGAATCCTAGCCCAGCATCGTACTACAGAAGAGTGGATTTGGAACTGAAGGACAGTAGCTTAATCACCTGCACAGAACTTGCCTCACCTCTTCTACTTCACAAAGCAAACTTCTGGAAGATAAGTTCCCCTTCCCTTTGCCATAGCCAGACAGGGTTGTAGTAAATATTGGCTGATCATCATGGATGATGTTACTATAATCCTGCACAATAGAATCCATTTTGAACCTGACCTCAACATTTTATGAACACAGCACTCCATTATGGTGTCTTATTTATCTAGCTAGAAAGTTGCTTCCACTCCAAGCAGGATCATTTTGGAAAGTCCTGCCAGGAGAGCAGAGCCCTGACTTTTGTATAAATGGAGTATCTCTTGCTGTTAGTGGTCTGATGAATAGAGGTATGAGGCAGCTTAACTACTCCTGTAAACCTTCTTTTTTAAATCATTCTAAAAGGCAGGGATCAGTTTCCAGGGTGATGTGGGGATTTCTAACAGTTTGCAGATAAAAAATGTAATGCAGGGTCTGAGAAACTTGCAAAGTCTTTCTAAAAATAACCCAGGAATCAGTAGAAAAACTCGGCATTTACAACTACCCAACATCTGTCTCACAAAAAAAGGCTGATAGTGAGGATTTCTGTTCTAAAGAGTTCATGGTATTAGCTGAGTGATTGATCACACAGCTCACTGGAGGAAGGACCAAAATACAATAGTTTTGTATCAGAAAGTACAGAGGACACAGAACTTGTCATAACAGCCTTAAAATGGTGCTGATATTGAAGTGCTCAGCCCAGAATTATCTGTGTCAAATTAATTACACTTCCTTAGTCTTTTTTTTCTATTGAAATAAAAGTGATAATAAGTGAGCAACACTACTTGGCAAGATATACATCAGCTTTTTCTTTGAAATACTCAGAACTCAATTAATATCAATTCTATTATATGCTATGCATGAAAAACTTCAACCATTAAGAACCGTGCAAAGTTATTTTTATTTCAATGTCAGATTCTAAAGAAAAGCACCCAGAGATTGTTATGCACATTTGCACTTACAGCTTTTATTATTTTTAGGATGTGGTTTTGAACTCGAATTCCAGTAAGTGACATGTGCTCTTGCCAACAGTATTTTCTGGGAAAGGTTTGCTTGAAGCTGTATCACATTGGATCATTTCATGGAAAATTTAGGTCTTTATAAAATGGAACCTGTTTATTGTCAAGGAGTCCAAGGTACATGGACTACTGGAGTAATATTCATACCCTAAAAGTAGACATTTTCTTCTCAATTTCCATTCTGTTGGAGCCCATCACCAATGCAACTTAAGAAAAAGATGATCTATTTTCTAGTCGTTTCCACAGAATGGAAATAAATATCACAGGATACTCAAATAATTGAAGCAGCCAACAAAGATTACAGAACCATAAAATGCTCTGTGACTTGCTACATTGTTGATAAGGGCAACAGGATAAAGAGATTTAAGAAGAAAAGCATATTTTAAACATGGAAGAATAATGTTTAAGGACTGGCTAACTTGTTTGCCTCTAGAAATCTTCAGTCCATGGTTCTCTTGGGAAGTCTAATCAATTAAAACCCTACATGCTATTCTACTTGTGAGAGGATGAGGAATACATTTCTCGTGTTATTACATAGATGAATCTCATCTTCAAGGCTTTGAAATATAACTTTATCCAGACTTCGGTGAATTTGTGTGTCATCTCATCTTTCTGCATTACAGTGAAATCGATTTTATGATTCCTTCCTCATAAATTACAGCCCTGAGGCTGTGAGAGTCTTGGAGCCGCTTTTGCTTTGTCTTCCCTCCTAGTCTCACAGGCTAGGCATGTCACTTACTTTTTTTTTCTGAACCACATCTACCTCCTCAAGTTTGCAATTCTGGTTATCGTTCTCAACCTAAAAATGTGTTTTGAAAGAGAGTGGTCTGTTAGACTCAAGATGTTTTCTTGGCTTGTTTGGATCCTCTAAACTGAGTATTATTCCTGAAGCCTCTAGCCCATCATTGGAATTAAACATTTTGTTAAGAATTAATAGAGCGATAGCCATGCAAATGAATGCACACAACAACATGGGTACCATTATGAAACTAACGGCTACAAAACTGAAAGGATGTCTTCCTTCTCACCCTCACCTCCTCAAATGAGTGCAAAGTAACCATGGTAGTGTTGGAATTCCTGACAGTCCTACCAGGTCCTACTTTCATGTCAGAATTTGGTTACTCAGTCAAGAGAATTATTACCTTAATGTCATTTTTGTAAAGAGACTCCCTGTTGATTCCTTGATATAGTGACTAACTAGATGGAAGAGTAAGAACGTAATATAAAACTATAAAGCACAGTGAATTTCCTTTAATTCCTCAGACTCACCCTTGGCAAAGCACGTAAATTCCTTGAGGCTACCTCAAGAAGACTGAGAGTAGGAAGGAAACAAAAGTTAGGTGTTTTCACCTTGCTCCCTGGCAGCTGTGAACCCTGGCCTGTCCACCTGCATTCTAGCCTGATCTCAGGCTTGAATTTCAGGAATGGATGGGAGCTATGGGATGAGAAATCAGTGGAGGGGGTTCACACATTCCAACTCCTCACACACACCCAGCCTGTGGCTTTGAATCCACCTCTCCTGTCTCCATCAACCCCGGTTGGTTCTCTCTTAACTGGATATACAGCCACCTTATGGCCCAAACCCAGGCGAGAATAAAGAATGTGGTCAAGGGAGCACTGAATTAAAGGAAAGAGAATGGTTTCGTTCTGCAAATATTTTACTAAACCAAATCTTACCCTAAATGTTCAGGTCACTTTTTAAGCCTACTTAAATCTTTTGGTTTTAATATTTCAATTGATTTTTTGCCTTCTCTCTATAGTTCTAGAAAAAGATAATTTAAATCAGAACAGTTAATTACTATCCATCAACTGAGAAAATACGGGCCCCAAAGCACAAATGTTTGGCCTGGTGCTTTATACCAATCTCAAAATGAAGAAGTGAAAGGAATCAGTTAATCATGGTAAATACAATAGGATACGGAACAGTTTCCCATTTCTTGCTGAGTTGACGTTATGGTTACGACTTCTCAGAATATCTGGCATACCTAAATTCACAAGTAAGAACATGACTCACTCAAGACTTGAGTTTGAGACTTTTCCTTTAGCCGATCTGCAACACTACTTCCTTCTCCCTGTGCTCTCACGACAGCTGGGAACGGTTTCTCTAACAGCGTTCACTAAGACGTATGGCAATTTATTTGTGCGAGCACACTGAACTCTCACCAAGACTGACTTCTCAAGGGCAGAATGTGCTGCTGCTGCTTTGTTTTCCTAGCACCATAAAACCTGATTCATAGAAAGTTCTCAATAAATATTTGCTGAATAAACCAAATTATTGTTTTGTTTTTAGGTGACATAGAAGTGTCATATTTCTGATACATTTTTAGAAATGCTATTATACTACCAAAAAGCACCTCAATGCACACAACAGTCAACCATTAAAGTAATGAGTGTACATGAAGCAGGCTGACGTGGATCTCCTTGATGCGGAGAGTGGGGTATAGTCAAGCAAAGTTAACAACCAGCCTCCTATGAGCTACGCCCACAGGCAACAACTTTCCTAATTGGCTTAGGACCAACTAAAGCCTGTCCCATTTTTTCCATGGATCCTTCAGCATCAAACTGTCATGCAGTTTTTTCGCTTTTTTTCTTTTTTTTGAGAAAGAGGTATGGCTTTGAGAGTTACTCTAACAAAATTCAACCTTAACAATTTTACATTCATTCTTTAAATTCTCTTGAGATAACTAGTTTTCCAGATGAAACACTGCAAAATTCTTAATTAACAGCAGTCTGAATCAGGTTCTTGGACTGGGGATCTGATTACGCATTCCTAAAATACAATTTTCTTTTGAAGGAGCTCAAGGCAAGGAGGGTAATTTCAACTCTTCAGAGCCTAAACCTTGCCTCCCTACATCCTCTCGACCTGTTATCCTCTTTATTTCCTTCTAAAACTATCTGAATAACATTGGCTGAAAAGAATCATGGGTAGGTGGGATTAACAACTAGATTTGTCTCTTTCTGTTTGTGCTGTGTATCACGTTTCTTTCAATTCCCAGTTAAAGCACCAGCAAATACTCAAGTGAATGGAATAAGCCTAGAGTCTAATTGTTTTAAATGTCAGTTATAAGAGAAAACTTTTACATATGTTATTAAGAAATAATACTTATAATGAATTGTTTTTCTAAGAACTGTGTAAACATTACTTCCTTTAGGGAAGTGATTATTAAGGAGTGGGGTGGAGAATATATATGAGGTTCACCAGGAGGATTTTTTAAAGCTATACATTCCCTCTCTACAAATATTCTGATATATTCTTTCTTGTTCTCTAGCTGGAATCAATGCTATAGTGACCCATTGGTTGTTGTTTGTCATATCCTTTTGTGTTAGGAATTGTTTTAACTTATCAGTGAATATAATGTTTCCAATTAGAATTCTACAAAAATATAAGAAGACATTTGTTTAAATTACATTATTTATTTTTAGATTATCCCTCTTAGTCCTGCATGCATCGTTAGCACAAAAAGTTGAACTGGATCACAACCTCCTTCAAAGAGAGAGTAGGTACACAATTGCCATCTGAAGAGCTTCTTCACAGATGGCCCAAGAATTCCAGACCTTGGTAACACTGTCAGCAACCTACACAATGTTCAATAGCAAAATTTACCAAATATCCTTTGTTTAATGTAAACAAGGCAGGAGGCAAAACAGGGTAGTACAGTAATACTATTTTACAGGGCTCAGAAATATGATTATCTATCATGTTTTAACACATCGTGTCACAATGACATGCATATTTTGATTAATTGTACAACCCAAAATATAATTACCATATAATTTGTGGTTTTAGCACTTCACTGTAACTTCTGTCAATACCTATGAACTTCATAATTAAATGGTAATTATATATTTATGCAATAATTTATTGAAACATGTTACCACGAATTATGAAGTAATCTATAACTTGTGCCCTGTAAAATTAAGTGTAACAATCTTTACACTAGCAACAGTGTAAGCAAGCTAAGGATTTTGGTCCTTATATATATATACACACATATATACACATGTACACATACAATAATGTACAATTAAACCAAACGGCTATGAATCCACTCATAGCTTCCATATTGCACAGAGAGAGATATTATGAGAACATCACAGAGTTATAATGTGAGTACTACAATGATAACTGGCTAAGGACAAATCTGAGTTCTATCAAGTAAAGAACGTGGCTCATTACTAAAAATAAACCCAAAGACTGTTAGAAAGTTTTTTAAAAATGTGCATACCTATTTATACCAATGTGAGCCAAGGCTAAAATTCAGTTCGGAATTTGCTATGGCAATCAGTGGTTAACGTGGTGCTTTTCACCCAACACAGTGAATTTTAGCCACTGTTTTGCAAGTACTGAGCAACAGAAATATTCAGCTTCCGAAAGACAGTAAAAGACTAGTAACGTAGTACAACGTGTCGCTAACAAATCCAGCTCCCTGTGAGAACTTGTGCTGGCTCTGGGTCTGAACTAAACACCAAACAGAAAGAAACCTAGCAGAAAACAAATCATACCTTAAGCTTTAGCTGATTACAAATCAAAGACATTACAATAACTTAGGAAAATAATTATGTTTTAAGAAGCAGCATATGCACACAAATATATACGAGTTAAAGCTTTTCTGAGCTTGGTTTCATGGATTAGCTATAAGGTCCCACTGTGAAATCAAGGATAAAATAGTATTTGGTTTGAGAGGTAACATCATTGCTATTACATCTATTGAACACTACGACAACATTAAGAGATATCTAATACCTCTTAATGCCTTATTTTAAATACATCTACATCAAAGTAGACTACAACTACATCTAAAAATGGAGATGTTGCAGTGTTCCTTGCAATAAATACAGCAAACTGAACAATGCTTTCCCATCATTAAAAATCACTTAAAGAAAATCATGCACCAAGTATCTCCCATTTTTGCTTTTTCATCGTTTTGCTTAAGAAATTTCTTAGAATGATCTAACAAAGGATTTGCATTAAATTAGAAATTTAGCCTTTTTGTTGTTGTTTTAACAGTGGTAAGCATTCTAGAGCCGAGAATATTCATAATCTTTTGATATTTTGTCCTTAATAAATAGCAAAAACTAACTATAAAATAAATCAGAGAAACTAACACGACAAAATTAGCAGTAGGTGTAAAACGTGCTTCTCTGCGCCCGCCACACGCCGTGTATACGCCAACATGCTACATGAATGACTTCTTCGAAGGGGCAGTGACAGCTCCTTTCCAGCTGGAAAGTTTGATAATCTGCTCCCCCAAAGACGGTAAAGGAAAAGATGAAGAAGAAAGTAGCAAAGTGCTGCTGCTTAATATTTCAACTAAAAAGAAAAGAGAGAGAAGATAGCTTAAAAGCAATATTTGAGTGACAAGCATCACTGAAAGGAAGAACAGAAAGTGGATTAGCAAACGCCATTCGTAAATCCAGTACAAGCAAGCTGTGCACAGCGCAGCTCCGCGGAACGACCTCCACACGTTCCTGCACACATACCCTACCGCACAGATCCCCAACTTACCCAAATGCTTTAACATGTAAACAGGACAGACTGGTTCATTTGTTTGTTTTTTAAATCTCTTTAGAATCACTGAAAACAAAAGACTGAACAAAATGAAAAACAAAATGTAAACATTAAGGGGGCCATTGGCATTTTGATTGCTGCCTAAGAGTTATCAGTCAATTTGCCACCTAGACACTACCACACATTTCAGTAAGAAAATCAAATTATAAAGCAATTTTCAGAGAGGGAGAGAGAGAGAGAGAAAAAAAAGGTTCTCAACGCAATACATGTTAATTAGCTTAAAAAATACTATTTTAGCAAGCACTACCAATGATGAGCACAAATTCAATATTGCAAAAATGACACAGTTTAAATAAACTGGGACTCATACATGAAAATCAATCACTAACATGGCTATGTGCACAAAAGAGTAAAAGAACTTTTCTCTAAAAATATATATATATTATATTAATCAAGAATTTCTTTATCATATTAAATTGTTGTTCTTAGAAAAGCTGAAGAAAGTTAATGGTGCTCTACACATTTTTATCTCCTATTATTATCTCAACTCATTTGATGGTTCCTGAATTATAGTTTTTTCTCATTTACAGTTTTTTTCATATTTTGTTCAATAAGAATTCTACTCTTAAAAAGTTATAAAATTAGGTTTTTTTGCTACTTATTAATCCAAAAGAATATAAGCATTTGAGTCCCAGAGAATGTCAAAATGCCTTGCTACCTAGAAGGGTATTAAAATAACAGAAATATCAAAGTCATGACATCAGAAATTTTGCAGCTTTTCACACACGCATTAGAAATGCTTATTTCCTGAAGTTCCTTTGATTGTATCCTGGATCCAAGGACGTGCAATTTTATATTTAGAACCATTATAATAAAGCCAATGAAAACAACATTATACAACATTTTACTAAGTGTCCACTCAATGGGTTCTCGATGGTTCTGTCCAGTTTACAGCAATGCTTCATTTGAAAAGGCTTTTCCTCTTCTCTTGGCTAGGTGAACTGAGCCTTTTTTGATGAAATGTACACAATAGTTCTGTTTCCTTAGTTACTTGAAAGATGCTATTTACGGTGTGGAGGAAGCGTGGTATTTCACAAATGCAATTGCGGCCAGCTCCTTACAGAACTCTTCTAGAACGATCACACCCTCTAGCAATGTGATGTGGTCAATACTGGCAAGGGAAGAAATCAATTCAAGATATTAGCAGATCATCAAGTTTTGGCAAAATTTTTAGATTAAAAATATGCAAAACACTGACTTACATAGGGCCTTCAGGTTCCAAACCAAGTAATCGCTTCCTGACTAAAAGAAGCTTGGGAGTAAAGTCCTGAATACGCTGGATTCGAACCATAAGGTCTCCAACAACCTGCATTAGAGACAAAAGGAACTCAGATCCTGAAACCAGCAACAGGGATTTTCAGGATAAAAACAATATTCCATTTCCTATCACTAAGGAATAATGTTACCTTTCACTACTCACATAACCATCTTCAACTAAGGACTCATATCTATTCCTCAAAATATAAAAGTTACATATGTCATTTGAAAGGATGAATTTTTCTTTTTTCTCTACATTCTGTAGTACAATAATTACTTCTAAACAGTAAATATATAATATTTTTCATTATGTGACACTAACTGCATACAATGATATTGAGATGTTAGTCGGACAGGTTTATCAATTCTAGAGAATATAACGAAACTGGTAACTCACCCTGACGATGACAGAGAAGAGAGATCTACAGCCAGAAGCAAGGTTCACGTAAGGATCCAAAAGGTACTCATGTACGTGCGGATGAGGGAAGAGAGAAAGTCTAGATAACACTGAGGTTACCTGTAAATTTACATCATACGGCTATGGAGAGGTAAAAACAAGAAGACATTCAACATTATTTATAATGTACACGCCTGAACACTTAATTTACCATTTCAATCTGTCTTTTCAGGAAAGGAAAATCTACCATCTTATTCCTCCCTCCATATGCTCTTCTACAATGAAAATATCTCTAACTATATTAGCTCTCACCATCTTAGTCAAAGTGAATGGTATAGCATAGCACTAAAACTTAAAAAAAAGCATGCATATAAACATACAGAAAAAAATAAATACATAACATAATCAGAATGTCTCTGTTCTATGCAGCTTGTTTTAATTAATGAAATCATTCAAGAGGTCATAAAAAAACCACCAAAGTGTCATATGTAATATTAATTAGAGACAACAGAGGACACATTCAGTATAAGACCAAAGATAGAAGATATTTTTTAAAATCATTTTTAAACATAGTACTCTAATCTTAGAAATGATATTCCTCATCTCTTAGATTATTCAACTACTGCCAATGAGCAAAAGCATGTTTACAACAAAATAAAGTCAAACACATCACAGAACCTTGTCAACAGAATGAAAGTCCTTGGGGGTAGAAATGACTACCAGGGGCCTCAAAGTGAATGGGAAGATTCAAAATGGTAATTTCATACAGGGATCATCTCATTTACTGCAGGAGCATTAACTCTCCTGAAACAATTGCACATCCGTGTACAGTTCCTCATACATTTTTTTGTAGTGGCATCACAATTTTACTTGGATTCTAGTTTTTTATTTTTAATGTTTATTCTTCATGGAAAGCAGCTTGGAGGTGCTTTACAGAGTACATCAAAATCAAAGCGAAAGGCATACTATACAAAGAGCTGCAATTATTACGCCTAGAACTTTCAACAGAATCTCTCATCCCTTCCACTTTTCTTCTAAGCAGCCAGAGGAAAGTGAATGGCTCAAACAAAACCGACTTCAGTGAGAAGGCTGAAAAGAACCGGAGTGCCTGGACGAGCGAGAAACACAGGCACGGCACAGGGAAGGGAAAAGTGATTCAGGACCCAGTTAGTATTAAGCACGGAATCTGAATGTTTCACTCTCATTCACTGAGCAGCTTTTAAAGCCTTGATCATAATGAATACCAATTAAGAAGTGGGTATTTGGCATTCAGAGGACAACAAATGCTTGAGCATGTGCCAGAAGACATCAAAGATATTGTTTACATGAGCAAAAACTCAATCCTGCGTTACAAGTCCAATTTTAGTCTTTTTCACTTACCACTAGATTAATGAACACAGATTTTCTCAAAGAAGAAAAACTATCTCTAAGTCAGTCATATCCAAAATCTAGCCTTAAGCAAGATAAATGAAAGGAGATACTCTTCCTCTTAAAGGATAGTTTGAAGAGCATATTCTCCTACTTGATAACATGAAGACTCAATTCATAACAAAGAATGAATTCACATAAAACTGTATTTTAGGCACAAAGGAAGCATTTTAAAAAATCTTTAAGAATGTATTTGGTAAAAAATGCATTCTTAAAAACTTAAAAACACCACTTAAAATTTAGAAACTTAAAAAATACTTAAGGACACCACTGTATATGACTTCATTTCAGGTAGTTCAGATTTTTAGGTCACTCAATTCCACCATTTAAGCAAGTTTACAGGTACTTAAACAAACAAATCAAACTTTGGCTCTAAACAAGGATATAGCGCCACTGAAACTTTGTATTTTCTCTATATGGTGTTACTTTGGTTTTTAGCTTTATTTCAACAAGAATTTATGTCTTTGGTTGTTTAAGAAATTCAAGGCTGAAGCAGATTATTTTTTAACACTGTGAAAACAAAAATAAATTTCAGCTAGACAGAAATTGTTCCACTACACTCTGAAATGCTCTCTGCTTCATATTGGTAATAACCTTAAAACAAGTTGGCCTTTTTGGGGGTTGTTAATAGCGAGGGTTTGTATCTATTATTTTGATCCCTTTATTTTGTACTTTATACAGTATACACCTGAAATGAAAGCTAATCAGACTCTCCTCACACGTCAAATGGACTTGGCCCCTTTTCTACTAAGCTCACACTAAATACAAGATCTGAAATTTAGGACAAGAAACTCTGACTTAAAAGCATAATGACGTCACTAGCAAACTCAGTCTCAGCCCTTCTACTAAAGGCCAAACACGCAAATAGTCAAAATAAGATTTCAGTTGAACTTTTAAAAATCTCAACTTGACAGTCTCTGAAATTTCTAATAATACCTGCATTTAACAAGAGTGTATATTTTTTGAAGTATTTTAGATTGCTTTTTTCATTTAATTCTTATGAGCACATCTAAGTAGGAGGTTAGGGCAAGTAACATCAACTTCACTTTAACAATAAGAAAATGTGACAAGTGATTCAGTTGGTTGCCCATGGTCAAACTCGTCACTGTCAGGGGAGGGACATGAACTTGGGTCTCTCTACGTTTTTCCTCGTATTCTTTACATTCTGCTATGGACTTAACATAGTATTATTTTTTAAAAGATCACCACAGTTTCAAACAACACTAAATGTGTTGTAAGGAATTTTTTTAAATTAACATTGTGACAACACAAGTCATAATACTTGATGTTATAACTTCTCAATCATATATGCAGATACTAACTACCTTATTAATTATCCATAGTAAGTGTTCAATCCCAGCCTGGCTACCCTGCCCCTATTAGTAGTATACACTAAGAAAATATAAGCAAACATCATCCTCAGGAAAAACATTTAGAAAAGAAAAATGAAACTAAACCAAGCCCGCTTAGCACTTCAGGACTCATGATTATCTTTGAGATCTGACTATATAACGTTCTTACCAAAAAAGGCTTGGAAAATCAAGAGTTTTAAAGACAAAAGGCTTGAGGCCAGGCTCCCCAGCGTACTAGCTGTACGTCACATTAACTGAAACTAAGGACTCTTCATCTAGAAAATAATACTAGAAATCTGCCTCGCCTGTCATTCAGGGTTACAGGAAGAATGACTGAGATATTGTGTATGAACCAGCTCTGCACTGTGAAGCGCTACCTGGTGAAATAGAAAGAATTCTAAGCATTTCAGGATATTCTGTCTCCCAGGTATTCCTTCACGTCAGTGCTCTACAAACTAAAGGAAAAAATGATCACATGTGATGAAGATTCAGAGAGGATTTTTCAATTCAATTCAGAAACTACCTTTTAAAATTTAGATTCTTTTTTAGTGCTTTTGGTCAAAATTTCTAAACCGACTTAATACTGATTGTTAATGTCTTTTGTGTGTTAGCTGAATGAGATCCAGACTAAGCCTAGCAAACCAGCACAAAAAACAATAGCCGGATGAACTCCAGTACCCAGGAGGTCCACGCAGCCACGATGTATACAGCATACTGCCTACACCAGCTGGATTAAATGCTTTGGTTGTTAAGTAGAAAACAAACAACTAAGCACTAGAAGTACAGCACATGCTATTAAAAAATTAAAAGAAAAAGAGGATTTAATCTCTTTATTGATTACTATCAGAAACAGTCCTGACTGAGGTCTAACTTAGTGAAATACTTCTTAAATTATCATTTTTTTGGCTTTTTGGTTATTGAAGACAGTCTGCTCACAGAGTAAAGTTCTTTTATAACTCCCTATGCTCACATAAATATTGAACTAAAATGTCAAAAAAGAACAAGTACTTTAATATACAATTTTAAATTGATTCCGAATTGGTTAACTCAGTTTCTATGTTGAGGCAAGTATTATGCCGGCTGTTCTATTTCCAGCGTATATCCCACGTATAAGGCATCTCAAAGCTCTATCATTATTGTCCAGGAGAGAGGGAGGCAGGGATTCTATCAGCCCAAATTCATTTCTCCTGACAGTCAGCGAGACATACGTAGCCACGTACCAGCTGATGGTGATTTTTATCCACCTTGGAATAAATTTACCTTTTTAATTTCACCCCCCCTTATGAAAATGAGTATCATTCACAAGTTCTTTGTCTGAAGAAGTGGGCTCATCTAATAGTGTTCTGTAATTTTAATGAGACCAGTGTGTTCAAGATTCAATGTGAATTGACATTGAAGGTCTTCTGAAGTGAGCCTTACAAGGCTGACTCTGTCTGTATCTGCGTAACTGTACAACTAAAGGGCCTTCTAAGTCAGCCAAACAGGAAGGCACCCTCATCACCTCCAAAATGTGTGAAGGATATTAAGACAATGGCCGATAATGAGAAGCAAAATGTACAATTCTCTAACAGCCATCAGGCCAAAGAAAGGCTTTCAACATAATGAATGCATCGGAAACCCACCAGTTACTGGCAATTAAGCTTTATGAAAAAAATCACCTAGTGGAAAAACTAAGAAAACAATAAAACTACTTTCTTGAAGATCTAAATGAAGACTTGAGATGAACCCATGGTGAATGGTAACAAAATATCATGAAAACTAATATTTCAAAACTTATTACCTGATCAAGAATTCTTCCCATTCTGTCAAACAAAACTTTCAAAAAATGACCTTCAAAGAAAGCTGCTTCTAAATTGCACTTTTCCAATGCTTTTGGAGACCCAGGCCACTCCCATCTTAAGCAGATAGCACAGTAGTCCCGGAACTAGGGAAAAAGCACTTGGATCATTAAAGAGGAACTGACCACAAGCAAACTGGGATTAAACAGAAACGATTTCCTCAAATAGGCATATAAAAATCCATTCAAATGCTGAGCGTCTGCTTCTGTGCCATGGGAGGTGCCACGGAAGAGAAGAGATGACTCAGATAACACCCTAACCAGAGGCAAGAGGTAGGATTACAATTCCCAGTATCAATACATGTTGGCGGAAGAATAGGCATATTTTAACTTTACCAAAGTACCCCCTTAACTATTGTGCTTATGCTCTGTCCTTTAGAGGAATTTAACCCTTTACTTATTTTCATCTCAGATTTGGAAAATATTTAAAAACCAAAGTAAGGGGGCCGGCCCTGTGGCATAGTGGTTAAGTTCAGTGCACTCCACTTTGGTGGCCCGGGTTCAGGGATTCGGATCCCAGGTGCAGACCTACACAACTCGTCAGCCATGCTGTGGTAGCATCCCACATACAAAATAAGAGGAAGACTGGCACAGATATTAGCTCAGGGCTAATCTTCCTCAGGAAAAAAGAGGAAGATTGGCAACAGATGTTAGCTCAGGGCTAAAAAAAAAGTCAGTCCTAGCCACATTTTCAAATCTATTCTAAGATGTTACATATAATAGATGAAGAGATGCACATTATCTGAGAGGGTGAGCCTGACTTTCCTATAATGTATTTATACCAGGCATTTATGATAGCATAAAGCGCTGCTGCTCAAGGTGGGGTCTGCAAACCACTACCATTGCAACGAGATGAGTACAAAACTGAGAGTAAGCATTTAGAAACTTCTACTGTAATTTAACTGAGTAAATTTAATGTCTGTTGAATCTAATAAAATAATCAGGGTTTGTATTTTGTGTTTTTTCTTTTCATTTTTCTAGTAATTCATTTTTATCATACTTTACAAAAGTGTTGGTCTGTAACAGACCATAAATAATAAGAAACTGGTCCTTTACTCCACAGAGTTTATCAATGGGATAAACAACATGGATTTTTTTTATTTTATTAATTTTTAATTTAATTTAATTTGCTGAGGAAGGTTAGTCCTGAGCTAACATCTGTACCAATCTTCCTCTACTTTACATGTGGGATGCCGTCACAGTGTGGCTGACGAGTGGTGTAAGTCCACACCCGGAAACCGAACCCGCAAACCTGGGCGACTGAAGCAGAATGCGCCAAATTTAACCACTGTGCCATGGGGCCGGCCCCAACAATATGGATTTTTAATAAGCACAAGAATACCTCATACAATGAAAATAAATTTTAAAAGTCTTCCCCTATATGTAATTTACTTGAATTTAAACAAAAGAAACTTAGAGCACAGTTTCCTTTCACATTCTTTCCCTTTTCAGATTCTCCTTATTGAATAAAGCAAAATTACTTTGACCTCTCTAGTTTGACAATCACCTGAAATTAAAAGAAAACATACTCTCACAGTGAAGCACTAACTTCAACTTTTAAAAGAAAGACATATTTTAAAAGACTAAAAAGCCAACTTCAATATATAGTGAGCTTTAAACTATTTGGCTTTTAGTAGACAATTTTCTTTATAAAACCACATCTCAATATTTAATAAAGCATTTTTACATTAACACTTCTGAAATTCTGACCTAGAAAGTAATAATTTAAAACTTTTCCATCCTTTTTGTCTGTTTTCTAATGTTTCTGAAACCATCATAACTGCATTTGTAACCAGAAAATGGAAAAGAAACTTTACAGAAAGAATAAAAACGCTCTAAAAATCCAATTGGTACTACAGAGATTGGTACGGCCTTTATTGTTACATGAAAGTACTTGCTACCCATTACCCTAGTTATTCAGGTAGTAACATGGACTTGAATTCAGGCTTAAAGCATGATGAATTGACTATAGGCATATGCAAATTAATTATATATAATAGCATACTTCAATCCAAAGGCTTTAAATGAAATTAAATGTATATTTTTCTGACTTGAAACATTTTAAAATTTGGAATTTTGTAAACTGTAAAATGCTCCCGAGGGGAAAGAAGACTGAGAGAAGGCCATTTAATTTAGGAACTAGGAGGAGCCCTTTGAGGAAGCAGTTTCAGTGAGGTAGAAAGCTGGAATGCAGGGGACGCGGGAGTGAGTGTGACAGGAGAGGCGGCACTTGCAGACGGATGTGTGTGCACCAACAGTGGTGGAGAGCAAAGGACAGGGCCTGCAGATTGGGAGCAAGGGTAGGTGGTGGGTAGAATCATTTAAAAATCTAATTTAATTTTAGAATTAGTTTTAATTCTAATTAAATGTAGATTTAATAAATCTCTAAAATTTAATTTAAAAATTAAATTTTTTGGATTAGTAAGGGAAAGGATTTGGGGGAGATATAATTTCAAGGACAGAGAGAAAGGGAAGAAAGAGGGAGAGCGGGAGAGAGGAAGAGCGAGCACAAAGAAATCCTGAGAAAGAGACACACAGTCAGTGAGGCCATGCGTAGAAAGTTCAAGTAGTGAGAGTGCAGTCCAGGTCTTGAGTAGAAAGGGAAACCTCTGGAGAAACGACTGGGCAATGAGACAAGGAGAGTGTGTGCATTCTTAGTAGATTTCATTTCACAAAATTAGTTACTTCACCTACCTGCCTATGAGCATCTCGGAGGTAGGTGTCATATCCAGTGCCCTCAACATGGTAGGATGATTTTGCCTCATCCGGTACCAGACAGAGGAAACTGAAATGAAAAAAGCCATAATTGATAACATAAATACTCTCACAATTCAATATCTTTACATGTATTAAAATATCTAGTGATATTTTCAGTTTAGCCAAGTATTAATGCAAATGGAAACTTGAAAAATAAAATTGTATGTTCTTAAGTACTTACCTTGAATCAGTCTTACAATTCCCTGATTAAATACTATTTCATTATTTTAAAGTTTTATTTGAAAATAACTCATTCCACTTAACGTACAAGTAAGCCTAAGACAACTTTTTCCTTTGCGCATTGCAGCACAAGGACAGACTGCCATGATATCTGTTAATTTCAGGAAACTGGCTTTTAAGTAATTGAACTTAAGATTTTGTATCTGAGCCACATGCAATTTTCTCCAAAGTCGCCTGCCAGAACCAGGCACATCAGTGACAGCATTACAAAGGAAGAAAATGAAGAAAACAGCCACAGAAAGGGCCCTTTTTAAAAAAACATAAAAACACAAATTAACAAAAAGTAGTAGCCCATGCTTTGCACACGTGACTGCATGCCTAACGAGTGCAATCTGTCAAACTGGAAATTCTCAACATTGTTACAATTGGGAATTACTTTAAATTATTTGTATTTTTAAAAAGTAGGGAACTTTGAAGATTTATTTAACCACTATTACTCGTTTATTTCTATATTAAGTAAAGCCTTTCTCTTCCGCTGGATTGTTGCCCCCTAGGCTGTCACTTGCTACATAAACATGACAAAAAGCCGACATAATCTTTAAAGAAAGGAAGACTGGGTTCATAACATATTGCTGTAAAAATCTAAAAGCAGAGCTATCATACGTTATAAAAACAAGTAAAAAAGATGTAAGTCAAATTTATACAGCCACTTACGTATTTACAATTTTATGGACTTCCGTTTTCCCATCATTTTTGGGGTGGTCTGGAGTAGCAGGAGGTGAGGAACCAAGCCACTCTTGGTTTGACAAAGTGTTATCTGGTGAAATGTCAGTAAATAATGGATCTTCTTCCAGATCTCTAAGTTTAATTTAACGATGTATAAAAAAACAATACTTTATTATATTTTCTAAACCAAAAGATTCTCTATGTTCTTAGAAAACATTACATAATTCTTCTGATAAAAGAATTAAAGAATAATGTTTTTATATTTTATAGAGAAATTAACACTTTTTACTAACAACAAACTCTAATATATTTTAGGTTTAATGAATAGATACCATCACTTGTAATTTAAAGGATGGTGATAACAAGGCAACTAAATTTTATTTTTAAAAAACTTCAAAACTATTACAGATATTTTTTAATGAATTAGGGAAAGAAAGAAGAGGAGATGGAAAATTGGATTCTATATGAAATGCTAAACTCACAGAGCTGGATGGAAACTTACACTGCTCCTGCTATGAGTCCATTCTCCACCACATCTTTATCTTCTGGGCACACAGGTTTATATTCTGTATAATTTCTTTCTTCAAGATTTCTTAGGACCAAGTTGTAAAGAATGTGCTCGTTGGGTTTTTGTAAAAGATGTTCAAACATCCTTAATGTCATTATGCTTATCTGAAACCAAAAATGATACAGGCCAAGTGAAAAATAACTTCAAAGAAATTATTCTTGTTCCATCCTGTAAGTCATGCTTTAAATTTTTAAAGCCACATAAAAAAAAAAAAAAAAAAGAGGATGTTTTCAAAACATCACAAGTAAATTAAAATCAGTATTTCAAAGACTCTAACTCCAATTCCAAATCATTATATAGCTTACCTCATCAGATATGTGATCACAATGTTCAATTAACCTGTGCCTTAAAGGGTGTCTGCTAATTTCTGCCAGAGTTTCTGGTTCCCTCTGTTCTCCAAGGATGAAAAACACCATTTCTTGAAGCAAAACATCAGAGGTGACTTGCCGAACCACGCGATGAAGCAGAGCAGTCGACGTCAGGATCCCCAACTCAGAACTGAGCGTAACACACAAGCAATTAGTGGGCAAAAATAACAGGAACACAGCAATCTGTGTGGGGGGGGTTTTTGTTTTTTAAGGAAAGAGGCTACTCACGTTTGCATTAACTGAGGTTCCATAACACCAATAAAAAATCTTTCGTGAACAGCTTTGGCAAGAGCAACAGCAGCAGTCTAGAATATCATGGGAGCATCATTATTTTTTTAAATGGAAAAGAGAGGTTAATTTCTAACATCAATAAATCAGTTTGTACTCTCCATCTGAATTAATGTGGAAAAGCAAACTTGCCTATTGACCATCTTGTTGATGGCGTACAAACCTAGATTAGATCTTAGTTATTGGGTCTTTTACATTTTATCTAAATTTCCAAGAACAAGACAAACAGGACAAAAATATTATCTCAATCACCTTATAGTATTAACATCTCCCCAAAGAGAAGAAATGGAGGGAGGCCAATGCTACCTTGTGTAGCTTTCTACTATAACACTTAACGAAATCTAAGGGCAGAACTTGAACTGTGATTTATTCCAAAGTTGTAATACACACATAAACACAAACAAGCATATGTATACAAGTTTCTTTGTTTATTTGGTTTTATTTATTTTACTAACCACTATCCTAAGACAATTAAGATATATTTGGGGATATAAACTAAGGATTCGAATTTCACTTGACGGAATTTACATTTTCTAATTACCAATAAACAACAAAAATATTCAAACCTTTTGTGCTTCCTTTATGAGTTGATCACAATAATCAAACCAGGAAAGAAATGAAATTAAGGCTCGTTTTCCTGGAAATGCTGAAGCATCTTCTTTATGACTATATGAGTCCAAGCTGTAGGACACGGAAGAAATGCTCAGTCCAAAGTCATCCAAAAGCAACAGCAGAATTCAGCACATATGGAAAAATGAAGGCCTGTGAAGGAACTCACACAGTGTGATGTATTTACACAGGCAATGCTGGATGACAATCGGAAGAGAGTTTTATACAAGAAAGCCAAGATAAGAAAAAACCTCTTAAATAAAAGTTGTAAATACTTTTGGCTCATTAAATGGGAAGAGAGAGACTAAAGCAGAATGGAGCTGCTGGAGAAAAACCATTTAGACAGCTCCTCATACTTCCGCCAGAAATTTGTCCAAGTAACAGGAATGAAAACTCAGAGGTTCTCGGCTGCTGGGATGGAAGAAAAGGAAAGTAAAGGAGAAACTGCAAAAAGAAATGACTGGCCTGCTTCTCTTCCTGCCTTCAAATACAACATAGTAGTAAAGTTAACAAGTGGGTCTGCCCTACAGATGTGGACAGAATATAGGATGGAAAGAAACAAGTAACAAGCAAAGGAGGGTTAAAAATATCCAAAAATAACACCAGGTTATTATGTCAAAATATTAAACTGCTTAAAGGTGGTGGGATTACGGATAATCTTATTTATGCTGCTTTTTTCTCTTTAATAATTTATAAAAGTTCTGCAATAATCATATTTTCCTACAAGAATTAAGCAGGAAGCCCTAAAAGATGGGTAGGAGGGGTAAAAGAATGAGGTAGGAATAGAGATTCCATACAAGCAGGCCATGAAACATGAGACTGCCCTAGGGGCTGCAGAACATATTTATAAAAAAGGAGATTCCTTCTTACAGGGCTTTTGTTGTTTTAAAAAAAAATTAGATAAAGTTATTGGTTTTAATGTAATTAATGTCTTAGTTGATCACTATATTAGACAAAGGAAAAGTAGCTTAACTACGTAACAGGCTGGATCATTGCAATTCATTCCTGATTGATAAACTTAAAACAAGCCCTGAAAAGTAATCCCATATAATGACTTCAAAACTAAAGATTTCTATCATTGCAAAATAGAAACAGATGAAAAAGTACAGGTATAAGAAGTCACTTCTATGGGAAAACACAAATGAGGGTTCTTACCCCCAGTTAACAGCTTCCACGGTTTCAATGTCTAAGGGATCCACGGACTGAGGTAGGGCCTTGTACAGGGAGGCAAGTCTGTCCGTCAGCAGTTCGCACAAGCAAGTGCTCTGTGTGAGGCACTTGGCAGCCGCAGGCTCCGGCAAGCTTACTAATAACATCAAGCCCTCACAGGCTTTCACAGCTATCCGGCCATCCTGAGGTGGAAAAAGCACACACTCCTTCAATTCTGGAATTAGATACACGTCAGCTTGTGTGGAAAATTTTAACTTTAGAGGATTTAATGTTATACACTAAAATAAAAATAGATTTCTTTTTTCTATTCTAAACGCATATAACTGTGATCATGTTAGTGGAAAAAAGTAAAGATGACTCACAGGACTTCTAGTAAGATTTAACAAAGAATTCACTAGGTTGTAATCCTGGTTTGGACGAACGACTGCGGCCTCTGGCAGTGAAGTGACAGTGAGATTATCCAAGCTGGAGGACAGATCATCATCTGCTAACTCTGTCTGCTCCATCCCAGCAGCACCTGACAGTTCCTCTGGCTGACAGGACTGTCCTGTATCTGTGGACAAGGAATCTTGACCTTTCAACGTGTCTTCTGAAATTACATTTGGTGCTCCTTTGGAAGCCAACGATTTCAACTTATTCTGAAAAGGAAGACACGTTTTGTAAGATTCACATCAAAAGCCTTTTAAAACAGAAGTCATATTTTAATGGGTCTTTCTATAATTAACATTCAATGTCTAGCTGATGTAGCAAGAGATAAAAGTGTTATGACAAAGGAAAATACTCAGACTTTAACAAACTGTGTTTTAGATCTTTTTTTTTTTTGGTGAGGAAGATTCACTCTGAGCTAACATCTATTGACAATCTTCCTCTTTTTTTGCTTGAGGAAGATTAGCCCTGAGCTAACATATGTGCCAATCTTCCTCTATTTAGTATGTGGATCACTGCCACAGCGTAGCTTGACAAGTGGTATAGGTCCGTGACCGGGATCCAAACCCATAAACCTGGGCTGCCAAAGCAGAGCATACTGGACTTAACCAGTATGCCACACGCCCAGCCCCTAGATATTTTTAAAAATTGCATAGGCATTTGTGACACTCTTCACACTATCTACAAAATGTTTTACACTGACCATAAGCAATGAACAATATTAGTGATATTTAACTACTACAGAAAAACAACTGATATTAGTGGGGAAAAAGCTTCAGGAAGTTTCAATTGCAGTTAATTGTTTTCTCATCACTGGGAAACTAAAAATGTATAGCCTCAATGTTGATCCTTCTAAGATCAGTTTTCTAAGATGATTTTTTTAAGTTTTTTCCTTGTACTTCTGCTCTATAAAAAAGACTCAATACCCTGAGGACAGTTTTTTTTTTAAGTTTTTTTTTTCCTTTTTCTCCTCAAAGTCCCCAGGTACAAAGTTGTGTATTTTCAGTTGTGGGTCCTTCTAGTTGTGGCATGTGGGATGCCGCCCCAGCATGGCTTAACGAGCAGTGCCATGTCCACACCCAGGATTTGAACTGGCGAAACCCTGGGCCGCAGACACCCTGGGCCACCAAAGTGAAGTGCATGAATTTAACCACTCGGCCTTTGGGCTGGCCCCTCTGAGGACATTTTTATTACTGTTTTTGAGGATAAAAGTAAAATTTGCTTGAAATGTTGGCCCCTGCCCCTACCATACACACAGCCAAACACAAAGAGAATCTTAACTGAAGCAAATTATTGGTTTCAATGCAAAAGTATCTTGCTTTCCATTTGAACATATGAGCAAAAATCAAATCACACAAACAAGTTACAATTCATTATAAACCAGCTCTTTGGAAGGGCCTATTACAGTGCTTTGCCCATCATACACAAGTGCATTAAATGCTGAACGAATTCAAGGTTCCACTTCCAAAGTTATAGTAATTATAGATCACTTTCCTTACTGTTAAAAGTATAGTTTAGACCAATCTTCTTGAGAAATTGAACTCATAGCACATATATTAAAAGAAAACAACTCTACGGACCTAAATGAATACTCCAAACAACTTCTCAATTTCCTATAAAATCAATTACATATCATAGTCTTCATGAATGTAAAATATTTTATTCCATCTGAAATACTAACAACCATTACTGGGAGTGGGCTCTCAGATAAGAACGGGAAAAGGAAGAGCAACCTTAGAACAGCACTCACTCCTTAAACCAGTGTTTCTCAAAATGTGACTCAAGACTGTCGGCACCATGGTCTTCTGTGCAGCTTGATAAAAATGCAGATTCCTGGGTCCCACCCAGACCCTCTGAATGAGAATATCTGGAAGAGGAGCCAAGGAATCTGCATTTTTTAAAACGCTCCCGAGATGATCAGGAACTGCTGCCTTCATCTGGCACTTTTGTTCTTATTGAAACTGTTTCCTTTCTTCTTTAGGGTCATCATTGGTACCCACAGCACATTTACAGACATAACCCTCGAGTCTCTTAAACCCAGACTCCTCTCCCAAATTGCACATTTGCAATACCAAATACCTGCTAATTATCTCCATCAGGATATGATGACTCAAAGCATCCAGAAGCAAAATTACCATCTTCCCCAAAAATAAGCTCCCTCAGGCTTCCTTCTTTCTGTTAGCGGCAGTCTTGTTGGTTCAGGAATTCAAGGATTCATCACCCTTTCTCCTGCATCCTGCACAGGACTGTGCAGTCCACCTCCAGAGTCTCCTGAATATATTGGCCTAATTCCAACTTAGGTCTAGTCCTTTTCACTTCCTGTCTGGGTTACCCCATCAGCTTCCTAGTTAGTGTCCCTGCTTTTCTCTCTCCTCTGAAAGGAATTCACCGTACAAGATACTGCCACCAATTTAACTTCTTAAAGTAGAGATACCATCATGTAATATCCCTGCTCAAAAATCTTCAATGGCTCCCCAACAACTACAAGTCAGCACAGATTCCTCTTCTTGCCATTCAAAGCCTTTGCCAATTCCTAGTCTATATGTCCAGGCCCTTGCTTACCACACATCCTAATTACATAGTTTCCTGAACACACTGCAAACTTTTACACCTTCATTCCTTTACTTATATGCACCCATCCTTATCTAAACACCTAGCGAGGCCCATTTCAAAGACAATCTCTTCCACGAAGTCTTTCCTGATGACCTAGAGCAGATATAATCTCTTTATCCCACGAACACTTAAGCGCATTAACTTTGTATCTTTCTTATGATGCTCACCTTACTGGACTTTGGATTACAGTATCTGAAGGTTCGTCTTCCCCTCATCACCAGACTAGAAATTCCTTTAGGGCAAACAATGTTTTCTAACACATCTACCACATACACTTAACCCACAGTAGACACATATATTGGCTGATATAAATGAACAGAGATCAGATTTCAGGTGACATCTGCCTGAGAACTGCAAAGTAATTTTGTTACTGTCTCTACCTACAAGTAATAAAGCTGCGTTTCTCTAAAGATTCATTTATTCAATGCGTTAATTAAGCAGTTATTATGCATTGTGTTAGATACTAGAGAAGCTGTGGGGACCCAAAGATTAATGATACACAGTCTTTGTCCTCAAGGAGTTTATTGAGCAGCAGGAGAAAATAAAATGCACATAAGCAACTCTAATGCCAGGGAGACTGTAATAACTGATATTAAAGCCATATGAATTGTCCTATCAGTTCAGAAAATGAAAACACCTACCACCTCAGGCTGTGGAGAAGTCTATGCTATAAAAATGCTGCCTTATAGCAGATACGACACCAAATCTGAAGGATGTTCTTTGTATTGAGGTCTAAATGTAAATGTTTCTCGGAAGACAGATAAATAAAGTGCATCTCACCATCAACATATTTAAGTCTGCAAATTTTCTCTGCTTCTGATCTATGGCTGTGTACTTCTGAAACGAGTGTCAGAGATTCTGGGAAAAATTCCTTAAACCTTAAGCTTTGAAAAAAATCCATGCATCTAAAGTAACTAAGTTACCTAAGAAAACCTTAGTAAAAATGAACTTTGAGGAGAAAAATCTCATACTTAGCCAAACTGAGATATATGACATAGTTACATCAAAAACTCCGGCCGGACCCGTGGCCAAGTGGTTAAGTTCACGTGCTCTGCTTCAGTGGCCCAGAGTTTCACCGGTTTGGATCCTGGGCACAGACATGGCACCACTCATCAGGCTATGCTGAGGGGGCGTCCCACATGGCACAACCAGAGGCACTCACAACTAGAATATACAACTATGTACTGGAGGGCTTTGGGGAGAAGAAGAAGAAAAAGAAGACTGGCAAGAGATGTTAGCTCAGGTGCCAATGTTTAAAACAAACAAACAAAAACCAAAAAGGACCGTTGGGGCCAGCCCTTTGGTGTAGCGGCGCGCTCTGCTTTGGCAGCCTGGGTTTGGTTCCTGGGTGTGGAACCACCCACCTGTCTGCTGGTAGCCATGCTGTGGCAGCAGCTCACGTAGCAGAACTAGAAGGACCTACAACTAGAATATATAGCTATGTACTGGGGCCCTGAGGAGAAAAGAAAAGGAAAAAAAAGAGAGGAAGGTCGGCAACAGATGTTAGCTCAGAGCGAATCTTTCACAGAAAAAAAAATCTGAAATCATAAGGCTGTTCCAGTCACTTTGAAGCACACTTTCAAAATATGCCCGACGTCACAAAAAGGCATTCATCGTCCTAACACTCCCTAGAAACTCAAATTCATACAATTTTGCAGCTTGGTTCCTTACCTGCCTTTAGTAAGAATGCAGAATAGGATCCTAAATTACTTATTCGGTAAAGTGAAATAGAAAACAAACCCACCTATTAGAATGGCTAAAATTTTTAAAAGGAAAACAAAAGAAATGTGACCACACCCACTCTGACAAGGACATGGAACAGTGGGAACTCTCACACATGGCTGATGGGCACAAAATGATAAACCCACGTGGGAAAACAGTGCGGCAGTTTCTCATGAAAACAAATACACACTTACCACGTGACACAGCAATCCCACTCTTAGGTATTTACCCAAACGAAATGAAAACCTAAATTCACACAAAAATCTGTGCTGAATTCATAATTGCCAAAAACTGGAAGCAGCTCCCAAGTCCGTCCCCTGGCGAGCGGATCAACAACGGCGGTCCGTCCACACAACAGAACACTGCTTGACAACATAAAGAACCAAGCTCAGGGGTGAGCCTCACATGCATTAGGCTAAGTCATCAAAGCCAGACTTAAAAGGCTGATTAGACTTATACGACTTTCTGGAAAAAAGAAAACTTGGGACAGAAACAGATCAGTGATTGCTAGGGGCTGAGGGTGGCGAGAGGACAACCACAAAGGGCCATGCAACTGCTGTATATTTTAAATGTGGTAGTGGTTATATGACTGTACATGTTTGTCAAACTCACAGAACTACAGACCAAACAGAGTGAATTGTACTGTATGTAACTTATACCTCAATCTAAAAAGAAAAAAAGAAGATGTTTTTAAAAACTAAAATAAAAAAAACAACATAATTATTTTTCCAAATATATTCCTGAATGACTTCACTGCTGAAAAAAAAAAGGAAGTGAAGGAAAGCAGGAAGGACACAAAAATTATTTTCTAATTTAAAACTGGAAGTAAAATCCAAAATATTGACTGATTTAAGTAAACTATATGATTTGGTGACTAGGGCCAGTACAAAATAGCAGAACAATCCCAACAGCTATCCCAGGCTGGAGAGGAGACTCCTGACTTTTCACATCTTGCCCAAATCGGCACACACCGTCCTGACCCAGCTGATCACCCAGGGCCCAAGCTAGGGCGCGCTTCCCTGACATCATGGGGGCTCCCGAAGCCCCGTGACTCCTCCGTCCCTGACACCCCCTGCACGCTGTGCGCATTCCCAGCCGTGGCTGGGTGTCTGTCCAGTCCTGCACTGTTCCCATAAGCCTGGCTCAACTAGATTCTTTGAAAATCATTTTTCTCAAATTTCAAGTTAAACTAAAACAGTCATCTTAATGAAAATAATTCTAGGAAGTAAAACAAGCTGATATCCACAAAATGTAATTCCTTCTAATATTATCCATAATACTAGAATTCAATTCCATAATAATTTCAATACAAGCATAATTTAAAAGTTGACAAAAAGTGTACCATACCTCCAGAAAAAAATTAACCAAGTAGGGATCTTGCTTCAGCTTTGCACACACGATACAGAGAAACTGAATTTCCTCATTTTCTGTTGGTGTTGCAAGGACTTCACCACACAGTCGAATTAACTTCTGTCAAAAAATTTAAGACAAATTTTTAAACTTAGGTTACTTTTTACAAGTATGTAAATACCCATCCATTTACCTTAAGGATATTTAAAATTTTCAAATAATGCAAATAGTTTGCATTTTTTGGAGGGAATAATATTTACAAACACCTACAGCAAAATAAATGTACTAGGGGGCCAGGCCCGAGGCACAGGGGTTAAGTTCAGCACGCGCTGCTTAGGTAGCCCAGGTTCATGGGTTCAGATCCCAGGTGTGGAGCTACGCCACTCATCAATAGTGCTGAGACAGGGACCCACATACAAAATAGAGGAAGCCTGGCACAGATGTTAGCTCAGGACTAATCTTCCTCAAGCCAAAAAAGAGGAAGGTTAGCAACAGATGTTAGCTCAGGACTAATCTTCCTCACACACACACAAAAATTTACTAGCGATAAGTTTTTTGAATACATTACCCTAAAAAAATTAATGAGGTATATAGTAAACTCTCCTTGAGATGTCACAGAGATAAGCCAAAGAAAAAAATTAATGTATAAAATTTTAAAAGATAAATATAAAGACACGAAATAGCATTTAATACATCATGCATAAAGCCAATTTGCATGTTATTTTCAGAATAACTTCCTTTATTATTTTTACTTTTAGAAAAATCATATAAAATTATTTCTATCTAAAAGAAATCAAACCAAACAGTTTTATGTAAGGGGAACAAAATACCTGCACTGGCCTGTGCACATTAATATGTGGAAGTAGCGGCTGCCGGATTCTTCCCAGAAGTTTGGTATAGAATACCAACACCTGCTGTTTCATTCCGGGAGGACACTGGGCAGAGGAAAACGGGAAAGCAAACAAGAAGAGAACAGACAATGCGAACACACTTACTCATAAGCTTGAAAAACAGGAGAGACAATATACGTGAATGTATTCCCCCCTCAAAAATCAATGCACTTAGCCAGTTAATGATTTTGTCAGAATAAAATTCTCAATCAAATATTAATGACTGGTATTCTAGAAATAAAATTACACCGGGGACTGTAATACAGCGTATGGGACCATAGGCTGATGTAATTACAGACAGCATGGTGATAATATGCTGTGGAGATGAGAGTTTAGTTCAGGCAACATCAACCAACCTGTTTATATTCTAAATGCGAGGGTAACATGAAACTATTACAGTTCACTTCCTGGCCAAAGCAAAGGCAGAATCTTGTTACTTACACTAATGACAGGTAATCAATAACTTTCCAGCACAGGTATGCAGCAGTAAATAAAGCCTTCTAACATATATATGTAAACAAAAGAATCCTATGTATAAACTGCTATGATTTATTCTAACAATGCTGTTTTAAATTAGTTGTAAAATTACCTACATTATGATTACTATAGGCAATGAATATGTCATAAAGAAGTTTTTATAACAGGCCAGTTGTTTTAAATATTTGCTGAAAAGTAGGTAAACCCAATGATTACTCATGCTGTGGATTAAGAGAGTATGAATTAACAAAGTTCTATGTTCTATAATTAACCTGCTTATACTGCTTCACATTTAAAATACAGTCACAAAATAAGTATTTCCAAAGGATCATCATAGATACATTATCGGGAAATAGTATAAACTATAATCTTAAGCACAATAATATTTTTTAAGAGAGCAAATACCTTGAATTATTCAGATAAAACAATATTTACAATCACCAACGTCAAAATAAATTTACTAGTAATACAACTACTAACATTTGCTCAAAAATCAATTAATATTTATTCAATTTATTGTTGCACAATCCCTCTCTTCAAAGGACAGGAAAAAGAAGGGAGGAGGAGGGTCGGCCCACTGGTGTAGTGGTTAAGCTTGCGCACTCTGCTACAGCAGCCCAGGATTCGCAGGTTTGGATCCTGGGCACAGACCTACACACCACTCATCAAGTCATGGTGTGGTGGCATCCCACATACAAAAAGAGGAAGCCTGGCACACATGTTAGCTCATGGACAATCATCCTCACCAAAAAAAAAAGAAAAAGGGAAGAGGGAAACGAATTGCAAGACATTAAGGAACAGATGTGTTGCCTAGAAAATATAAATTGAACAAACTTAACTTAAAAATGAGTTGGAGTGTTATAGACTTAGTTAAAAGGAAACTGTCTCTAATACTACTATTCATAATTCTATTTGGTGTTTAAACATGTCTATTAGTTTGAGGTTTTTTTAGCATGATTTTCACATACATTAGAGAAATTCACAGAACAGACCATAGGTTTTTAGAGTTGGGGAGGCCCTTAGCGATCACCTCATCATTTTTAAAGAGGAAAAAGATTAACCAAGAAGACTTGCTGGAGGTCACAGAAGATTAGCGACAAAGCCAGGCCTCTGAACCTGAACCCAAAGTTCCTCCCCTGCCCTCCCACCATCACATGATTTGAAACTTGTCTTGATAAGTAATTTGAAAGTTTTGTGGTACAGAATATTACTTATATCGTTATATCAGCTTTGCAAAGTTTTCTCAAGATTCATTAGGCCTTAAAATTTGAATCGGCTCCACTCATCAGCAGAGTTAACGTCAGAACAACTAGTAACATTCTCTTTCAGGATTATGAAAAACAATTCCTATTTTTGTAACCCAATTTGCATGGGGTCCTTCTCCTTTCCTTTGATTCTGAGTGCACATCCTTGAGCTTATTTTCATAAATGTTTACACTGTCATTCTAAGCAGCCTGAGTATCAGTTGCCATCTAGAGCATCTGGGAGTTTTGCTATCTCTCTAGAAAGTCATATTCATATAGGCCACACAATTTTCTTTTTTTTCACAATACTGACTTGAATCCTGCCATGCTTAATATGTACCTCTATAATTAAATTTAGTACTTGGGATCTTCTTTATCTCTCAGACATGAATGCACGTATTACATGCCCACGAACATGATGTGGATTAGGAACTTACGTCAGCTTTCCCTAAGGTATATAACGTTTCCAAGATCTTGTGATGAAGCAAATATTCCATACATGGCCCCGTCTCTCCAGATTCTCGTTCATTTTCTTCTTGTACCAATATATCTAACATCTGATCCAGATGAGATGGAATGTTTGTATCTGTCACTGGGGCCTTATCATCTAAACAATAAAAAACATTCATCAAACAAATATTCAAACCTTTTTAAACTGCACATTTGCACCTAAAATACTCTATTTCCCTATTCCTACTCAAATTGAGAAAAATCTGAACTATACAGTTAAGCGAGGATCATACACATAAGTATAATTATCTTTGCTAAAATTTAGATGAAGCTTTTTGTCATATTCTTATTCAAAAACAATCAATATTCTGAAAGATATTCTATAAGCTAATATTCATGCATAATATTTCAGAAATAAGAGCTATTTATACAGGAAATAGGAACATGATCAGAAAAAATACATGTCACATCAGAATTAAGTATGCAGTTATAATTAAAATAATTTTTTCAATTAGCCAGTTCAGAAGATCTGAATTTTAAGTCTCTTTCTATAGAAACAGATTGGCTTGAACATTAAGCTGAACAACGTAGGGTGTGTGGAAGGACAGGTTCTGTTTCTGATCGCAACTGTGTTGCTTTGTAATGCTGGGAAGCCAGACACTCAACGCCCCTAATTCATCTCCATCCTTGAAAACATGAGGAACCCAAAGAAAAACCCTCTATTAAAACTTTCCAACAGCTCCTCTCATTAACAGATAGCTACTCCCAAAGTAAAGGCTGCTTCTCAGGAGAATTCTTATAAAATATCATTGATATTTGAAAATAAACATTCATTGATACTTTTTACATATCACATTTAAGACTCAAAAATGACACGGTTTTATCAACCTATCTTTATTGAACAAGGGTTAAATTACTCTAAATAAAATGTAAAGTTTTAGGGCTGGCCCGGTGGTATAGTGGTTAAGTTCAAGTGCTCTGCTTCGGCAGCCTGGGGTTCATGGGTTTGGATCCTGGGCATGGACCTAGTATCACTCGTCAAGCCATGCTGTGGTAGCGTCCCACATAAAATAGAGGAAGACTGGCACAGATGTTAGCTCAGTGACAATCTTCCTCAGGAAAAAAGAGGAAGATTGGCAACAGATGTTAGCTCAGGGCCAATCTTCCTCACACCCACACACAAAAAAGGGAAGTTTTATAGAATGTTTCAATACAAAACATATTAGGGAATGCCAATTCTTACTTATGTCTCTATTGTCACTTACTTAGTACTTCTATAGTTTGTACAACACAATCCTGGTATGCTACGTATTTGATGATCATTTCCATCAAATTATAAATTGCAGTATCTTCCAACTCTAAAAAACATTTAAAAATCCTCTCAACACCACATCTCCCTCTGGCTGTTGCTCCATTTCTCAGCTCCCCTCTACACTAACACTCCTCATAGGAGCAGTATATACACATATTCTATACATGTTCTCTGTCCATTTCCTTTTAAACTTACTCCAATCAGGTCTTCTCTCTCTTCCTTGCCACTAAAACAGTTCTTATCAAGACCGCTAATGAGCTCCTTGTGGCTAAATCCAATGACCCATTCTTAGTCTTCATTAACTTGACATCAGCATCATTTGACACAATTAATCCCTCTCTCCTCTTCTAGCTTCTAGCACACCATCTCTCTTGGCTGTCTTCCACCTCACTGGCAAAAGCAGTTTCCTTTGCTATGTTTCTCCTCTTCCCAACCTCTAAGCCTTGCGCCCAAGGGCTCAGTTCCTGAACACCTCCTCTTTTCCATCTGTCCTGACTTCCTAGATAATTTCATCCAGTCTCGTGGCTTTAAATCCTACTTACCTGCTGATGACTCTCAATTTCACACGTCTAGTTTAGACCTCTACCCTGAATTCCAGATTCCTATTTCCAGCTGTCTACTTGACGTATCCAATTGGATATTTAATGGACATCTCAAACTTAACATGTCCAAACTGCTCTACAAACCTGCTCCTCCTGCAGTCTCCCCATTCTCAGCAAGTGGCCCTTCCAGTTTTCCAACTGTCTAAGCCCAAAACTTTGGAGTTATCCTTGCCTCTTATTCTTTCCTATCCAATATCCAATCCATCAACAGACCTTCCTTCAAAATATACCCAGGATACAATCCCTTCTTACCACCTCCACCCTGGTCTAAACCACCACCTTCTCTCAGATCATTGCAATAGTCCCCTAACTGCTCTACCACCTTCACCTCTGCATACCTTCAATCTAATTTTTTCACAGAAGCCAAAGTGGTCTCTTTAAAACAGATTGTTATGCCTCAGCTCCAAACCCTCTAATGGCTTCCCACTTTAGTTTACCCAAAGGCCAAAGCCCTTACAACGGCTCACAAGGTCCTGTGTGAATCTCCCCCACCCCCCCAGCCCCCGCCCCACCTGTCTGATGCCTCCTCCCACCTTTCTCCTCCTTCACTTTGCTCCAGCCACACTGGCTCCCCTGCAGTTCCTAGACAATGCCAAGCATGCTGCATGCTCCATCCTCAGGGTGTGTACAATCGGTCCTCTCCCTGGGACTTTTCTCCCAGATACCCCTCAGGCTTGCTTCTTCCCTCCTTCAGATTTCAGCTCAGAAGTCACCCCGCACAATGAGGCTTTCTCTAAACTGAAATAGCCAAGTGCCCCCCAACTCCCAGGGCACACACTTCTAACCCCGTTAGCCTGCTTCATTTTCTCCTTAACACTTACCATCTGACACACTATATGGAGCTGTCTATTTATTGTTTGCTTCCCCCAATCAATACCTAAGCTCTGTTTAGGACCGGGATTTTGTCTGTTTGATTGTTCTATCTCCCAGTGCCTAGAAAAACACCTACACATCGTAGGTACTCAACAGATTTTTTTTTTCCCCGAGGAAGACTGGCCCTGAGCTAACATCTGTTGCCAATCTTCCTCTTTTTGCTTGAGGAAGATTGTCCCTGAGCTAACACCCATGCTAATCTCCCTCCACTTTATGTGGGATGCCTCCACAGCGTGGCTTGATGAGTGATGCTAGGTCCGAGCCTGGGATCCAAACCTGCAAACCCCAGGCCGCTGAAGCAGAGTGTGTCAACTTAACTGCTATGCCACTGGGCCAGCCCCTCAACAGATATATTTTTGAATGAATCTAAAAGAGCAATTAAAAGTAAAATAAATTGTTTATAAATTTAAATATAAAATAACTTTGAAAATTAATTTGAAATATTTTAGTAGTTCACAAATTTTCTGTTTAATTAATATTAGCATTGTTTCTTACCTGAAGTCTCTATGTAATAATGGGTAATTGCCTTCCAGTGATAAACAAAATCTTCTTGTAAAGGAAGAGAAGGTGCGAGCTACACAGACAAAAAGACCACAACAATTATGAAAATGGTATTAAAACATTTCCCGTAAAGTCTAACTCTGTATTTGTCTAATAATGATGCAAAAGCAGCATAAAAATAAGGGTGAGCTTGAATTTGATTCTATATGTCAGATATCAAAGAGAAACAAAATGACTCAAATCCAAGAAAGTATAAATGACTTATTAAGAAAGAGGAAAAACACATTTATCAACATTATTACTAAACTACGGTATTAGGAGGTTTTTTCCTCCACTGAACCTAGGAACTATATATGGCTTCAAAAGTAACAGTGTTAAATGAAAAAAGATATATATTCTATTACTAAAATATCAGTGAAATGAAATTATCGATAACCAGGGATCTTTGTACCTAGGACTTTGAAATGCAAAACAGTAAAAAACTGCTGTGTAATTAGTTACACATCACCACTACTAAAAGATATACCAAAGTCAACCCCGTCACCAGATGAAAATTTTCCCTACTTTCAGTGACATACACATGTAAATCTTTTCCTTTTTAAGCCTGGACTAGGCAATGCATTTTTCAGCAAAATAACCACATGAACAAGACACTACCACTTTAAATTCCACAAAGTCAAAAATGTTTTACCTTTTAGCTTTGAAATTACTTCAGAAGCTTTAAGACCAAAATTACATCCCTTCTACCATCTCATAGCAAACCTACAAGTATTTCAAATGTGTGTGAAATGGATAGAGAAAGACTTGGATGCACCTTCTAGAACGTTTTCTTTTCCTTAAAAAGAGTGAGAGAGAACACTCCCCCAGTCCTCATATGGGCAATAAATTTTGGTCAGAAAGTGCAGAGTTGACCCAGCTTACTCAAGAACAAACAGGTTTCTATTCTGGGAACCGAAAATATGGCAGAGTAATCTTCCATTTTCACGTACTTCATCTAAACAGATGACCTAAGAGGTCATGTTATCCGGTACTGCTGCTTGTTCCACTGTGATTTCTTGGTGACCCCAGCAGACAACTCAAAGTTCGACACCATGCCAAAACAATTTCCAAACTATTGGGCAAATTGTAAATGCTGGTCACAGACATGCTAAGTGTTTCAATCCAGAAGATGAAATGTTGTTAGAAAAAAATGGACCAGAAAAATGTTCAGAAACCATCAACCTCTTAATGCCAGCCCAGCTACACTTCCTATTTGCACCACTGAATAATATTGGATTAAGACAATATAAGCATTCATCTCATTTTCAAATAGAACGCTATGAAATGTTTTAAAAGACTTTAAGACCTTTAACAAAGGAGTTAAAACCTTTGGGATTACTATGCTTCAAGGAGAACATGGGGAGAGAAATTACTTGTAGGAAACCGAGGAAAAAATCAGAAAGAAAAATAAGAATGAAGGTGTTAAGTTGGGAAAATAATCTTCCTGAAATTTTTAAATTAAAAAAAAAAAACGGTTTTAATCAGCAACTTGTTTTTAGAATCTATTTCAAAACATAAAATTTCTCTTGTGTTTTGGACCTGATTTTTCAGACTCCAGCCTTATATAGTTAAATGTATTAACAATTGGGGGGCCGGACGGGGCCGAGCGGTCGGGTTTGTGCACTCTGCTTCCTCAGCCCGGGGTTTCACTGGTTCAGATCCTGGGCGTGAGCATGGCACCGCTCATCGGGCTGTGCTGGGGCAGTGTCTCACATAGCAGAACCAGAGGCACTCACAACTGGAATGTACAACTATGTACTGGGGGACTTTGGGGAGAAGAAGAAGGAAAAAAACCAATTGGGACAGGGGCTGCCCCGGTAGCCGAGTGGTTAAGTTGGCGCGCTCCGCTGCAGGCGGCCCAGTGTTTCGTTGGTTCGAATCCTGGGCGTGGACACGGCACTGCTCATCAGACCACGCTGAGACAGCGTCCCACATGCCACAACTAGAAGAACCCACAACGAAGAATACACAACTATGTACCGGGGGGGCTTTGGGGAGAAAAAGGAAAAAATAAAATCTTAAAAAAAAAAAAAAAAAAAATTGGGACAAACCCAAAAGAAATTTGGAATTTCAAGAAATGTACCTAGTTTCTTAAGTATAAATGTTGTGATTTGTTAAATTTTTCCCAGGGAATCCCCTGGGCATATAAAGAATTACTGCATCCTTGCTCCAGATTATTTGACCCATGGGATTTAACTCTATTTCCAAGGAAAGTCACTAAATCAGAGGTCTTACAGGATTTGTGTCAGGACCTTTGCTGCTACAGTCAAATTCAAAGCAGGATGGTATTACTTACTTGTAAATATCTTTCTCCCAGGAGTTTGATTTAAATAAGAAACCTATTTAATTAGATGGTGAAACAGTTCTAAATTGCTAATAACTTAGTTTAGTAACAATCTTGTTCAAACATGAATAAATTTCCTTATTTATGAAAAACTTCCCAGTAAACTTGCTTTTTTCATTACTGATTCTAATATGGAAATTACCTGCTTTATCATTTGCATAAAAACATTTATGCTGTGGGTAAGAAAAAAGATGTGTGAATCAGCAAGGGGCAATTCTAATTTGAGTTAACTTTTTACAATACAGAGATTAAATCTTTGAAAATTCATGCAATCACTATCTCAACTAAACATTGACATGAATGCCTAACTTAGACACTGCTTTCTCTGGGAAACGTTGCCAGACTTCCTGCCTAGGGTGTAGTCGTTTCCACACCTGCTAGCGGCACCCTCCATCAGTCTGCTCACTAGCTCTCTTAGCCCTTATCCCACGTTTGTAATTGTTTAATTATCTGTCTCCTCCACTAGATTGTAAACTCTACAAGAGCTGAGATTGTGTCATCTTTCTTATCACTGAACCCCAGGTTTCCAACTCACTGAGGGCATACAATAAGCATTCGATAATATTTATTGAGCAGATAAATGAATGACACAGCAGTTGCTGCAATTTAACGAGCAGTTACTTATGAGCCAGGCACAGTGCTCCAAAGTTTACACTTAATATATGCTGTTAAATTCTCATAACAAACTCCTATTTTTCCCAAACAAACTCCTAATAAGACCCAAAGCCTGTTAATTGCCTTCGAAAGGAAACATCGCTTCTAACTAGAAACCCAGACTTTCTTTCTCCAAAATGCCTACCACAAAGAAGGACCTACACTGATAATTCAGACAAGAACTAGTGTCCTAAAAGCCACATCTGCTTACTCTCTCACATGTATCGTGAAGATTCCACGCCTGCATCTTTTAAAATGCTTCTTGCTCCCCCCAACTTTCCTATGCCCTTCCTATCTTCTCTGCCTCTCCGAAGTCCAGCTCAAGTCTCACTTCCTCCAGACAGCCTTCTCCAATGACTCCAGCCCTAAGTGCTTGCTCCCTTCCTCCCACAGAACTCACTGGCTGAACAATCATCCAAATAATAATAATATCAGTTAACATTTATTAAGCACTTACTGTGTGCCAGGCACTGCAGTAAGCACTTCATGTACATTATCCCATTTTAATTTTCACAATAATTCTAGGAGACAGCTATGCTTATTTCTATTTTACAATGAGGAAACTGAAATGCACAAAGATTCAGTAACTTGTCCAGTGTAGAAGGAAGGGATGGGGAAGGACTGGAAAACCCTGTTCTGTATGGCTCTAGGGCTAGGCCACACTCTTGTGCATTGATTATCCTTTAACCAGTGTATCTCTTTTACCTCCCAAATTAGACTGTAAGCATCGTGAAAAAGGACCCCGGTGCACCTTGTTTCCCTCACACTGCGCTGCGCTTTCATGGTGGGCTCATAAAGCACCTGTCGAATGACTAAAGACTGAAGTTAGAGATCACTTGCTGGACAAGAATACACTTAAGAAAATACTATATATGTTTGATTTGAGGTTTTAATTCCTACGGCAGAGTGGTTTTTAAAAGGATTGCTGGTCCCAACAATCATCATTAACTCTTAACTATAATTTGAAAAGAAAACATTCAAATTCTGAAAGATGACTTCCATTGAATTAATTAGTTAAAATAAATAAAACTTTCTTCCTTGACACTGTCCTATCCTCTTGGAATAAACGTGGCCTCAAAAGATGGAAGGGGTTGGAATTTAGAAGGAACCAGCCTCTGGCAGGTCACCTAGCACAGAAGAGGTCCTCAACAAATATTGATTGTACCAAACAGAAACTGTTTTATTTGCCCTTTGCTGACGTTGCGCTAAAATGATCCAGTCCAACCTCAGAACTAACTACAAGAGAGCTTGATTTCAGACTTGTGGCATGTGGCAACTGGATAACAGAACAGATTCAATGCATAACCCTTACTGGCCAATCATTTCTATACCGAGGGAAGAATTACACAAATTACAAAATTTCATTTTTGATCAATTTCTCTCCTAAACTCAAAATGCAGCCTATCAGCTTAATAACACATTTTCAAATACTAATCTTTGAAAATATCTGTTATATTTTTTTCCTTGTAACTAGTTAACAGGAAGTGAGGAGAAACCATTAATTAAATAATATGGAAAACTCTACATGCAAATCTCATTTCAGTGAATATGTTTACCTGGTCAACCTTAAAAAACCATTTGAAGGCTGATCCAATTAATGAAGAAACCAGAAAGTAATAATACCAAAATGGTTGAGAAAACATCACAGACTCATACAATGACACAACTGAAAAAGGTCATGTCAGCATCTGACAACAGAGTTATCTCCCATTTCTGCATAATCCTGCTAATTACGTTAATTGCAATACTGTATCAGAAGACACTAATTGGGCATACAAATTAAAAGGTGTACAGAGAAAAGCTAATGAAATGAAATGAGGAATGGTAAGAAGAGTTTATTGAAGAAAATGTCAAGCAAATTAATAAATAGAACTGAAATAAATGGAAACCAGTCTTGGGCTAGGGGAAAAAACTCTCCAAATTCCACAAAGATGGCTTGTTTATCATTACATATGACTTCGTTCCCAAGAGAGAGTGTTAAAACAAAAGAAAAAGGGTAGTACTCCAAAAATTTCTCAGGAAATGGAACCTCCTATCAAGGTAAACTGCAAGGTATCATGCTGAAAACATTAACTCCAAGCAAATAAAAGCATGACTTTTCTAAATACAATGCATTCATTACTAGGACCAGGTGAATATAATCCACTCAACTTTTTCTCACTAACCTTAGCAAAGTAGAGAACCTGGATATTATGGAGCCATAGTCAGACAATTTACATGGATAATTTGGTAGATGCTAACATATACAATTACAAAAAGATAATGAGGACAGAAAACACAGGCCTTGGGACAAAAATGAGTCTTTACTGGAAGAGTGTGAAAGCCATCTTTCTTTTTTTAAGTACTTATTTCTATAAACAACAACCTGATAGGTAAAGGATATTAATAATGTAGTAAATTTTTTACTCCCAATTATCTCAATATTAAGCTATATTCAATGTTAAAATTAAATGATTCTTGGTATTTTAAGCGAAAGAATAATATAATATGTAAATGTCACTGTTTTCATAAATTTTAAATTCTCTAAATATAAAAATGCTGTGGATTGTGGATGAGCAAGAAAGGAAAATTAAAAGTTGTCTTAAAGTCTAGAACTGTCGTCTCCCTCGTGAAATTCTGGTCTTCATTCATGAAAACCCTCTTTCCTGATTTGATACATACGTTTTCCCAAGAACTTGTCTAGAGCTAAAATGATTTTTAAACATTTCCCACATACCACTTAAAATAACAACTGGTCTAAAGTTTTGTCTTCATGACTGAATTTCAAAAACCCACTTTATTTTTACCTGACCATAAAAACTGTTGTGTTGTAATTGACTTTTTTTTTTTAAGTTGCCTGGATTTTAATGTGCTAATCACGCAATCTGAACACAGCGAATGACATTTATAAAAAGCAGCCAAGTAACAGTTTCTTCACAGGATGCATGCTTCAATTTGGGCAATTCTCCCAGAATAAACTAAAACCACCAAAGTCAAGCAACTATAAGTCTTAGTATTAAAACAGCAGCAAGACACTTTCTTTAGAGTTACTCCTCTTGCATCAGTGTTAGGGTATCCGAATAACGCCTCCACGCCGGTGTCTAAACCCTCCCAGGGAGTACAATTGCAGGGGAAACGAGGAGCGTCCAGGAAGAGAAGACAAGAAAGGAAGCATATGGTCTGTTGGGCTTGCAAGCGGGCTAAACCAGACTCGATCAGACCCTCCACTCTCCCACTGCACATCGATCAGAAAGGTCCAGCGGAGGCTGGCCGCAAGGCCTGCGACAGCAAAAGCGAACACGCTTAGGACACAGGGTGGGCTGGCAGAGTCGCCCCTCGGCCGCAGCCCACCTTCCTGCCCACCCCACCCTCCCCACACAAAACAAAACCCCAGCCCGAGCGCGTCAGGCCGTTTCTTTTGTCTTGCTCGAAGCTGACACCTTCTCCTAGAGGAGAGGTTAACGGTCAGGGAGTCCGCGGAGCTCACTGGGGCCCCGCCAGGCGCTCCCCGACTCCCCGGTCCCCATCAGAGAAGTCAGGCGACCCCGACCCCCGCCGGAGGGCCGGTGCTCCCGGGGCCCCGCCGCCCACCCTCCTGGGCAGGACAGGGATCCACGGCGGCCCGGGGCAGGAAGGAGAGGAGGGGGCCCGCTCAGGGCGGAGCCCGCCGAGCCCGCAGCGCCCCGCAGCGCTCGCCCCGGGCCTCGCCCCTCCGCCCGCGGCCGCCCGGCTCTCCCGGGGCCGACGGGGAGCCTAGGCCGCCGCCATCCCCGGCCTGTCGTGCGCCCGCAGCCCGCGCGGCCTTACCGCCTCCACGGCGTGCTGCAGGATGGAGGTGAACTTGGAGAACATCCTGTCCCGGGACTGCAGCAGCTTCTCCCGGGACGACCTGGAGAGCTCCTCGATCCGCCGCCGCCGCCCCTGCTGCGGCTGCCGGGGCCGCTCCAGAGTGAAGGCCGGTGCGGGCCGCGGGGGACGAGCAGAGGGCCGAGGCGGGCAGGCCCGGCCCGGCCGCTTCGGGGCTGCGCGGGCGGCGCGACCGGGCGCTGGGACGCGGCGGGCGGCGAGGAGGGCGTCCGGCGCGGCCTCGGGGCCCCGCGACGCTCCGGCGGCGGCTCCGGCTGGGACACGGTGGCAGCCCGGCTCGGGTTCCTTCCGCCCGCTCTGCCCGCCGCCGCCTGCAGGGGGCGCCACCGCGGCCCGGGGAGGCCCGGCCAGGCCTGCCCTGCGGCGGGCAGAGCGAGCGGGCGGGCGGCGCGGGGCGGGAGGGGCGCGCGAGGCCGCGGGGCCGGGGCGGGAGGCGGGCCGGGAGCCGGGCCGAGTGCAGCCGCCGCCCTCCCCCGGCGGCCGCGCGCCTCGGACCCGGGCGTTCGCACGTCTGTCAAATCCAGCCATTCTCCCAGCCTGGTTTCTCCAGCGGCAGTAACGTGCTGCTTTTGTAGGGAAACGTGGCCATGTGTGTGTACAATATTGAGATCCGTCTTGTAAGGGCAGATGTGAAGACTGGTAAGAAGAAACACACAGTTCCTAAGGCAAAAATGGGCTGTCGGTTTAAATGGTAAGAAATAGAACAAATCAACTAATACTCGTGAAATGGCTTTGCCAACCCTAAAATGTATTTCATTATTATTATTAGTTAGTCAGCGTTAGAACAGGAAGCCCTAAATGGACAAATGGTAAGATGGTTCGGTTGACGATTTGTTAGGTGTTAGGTGTGGGGCCTTCAGCATAGCGTTTTCGATTCACTTATCAGGTGATACCGGAAAACATTAGTGAGGGAAAGAATCCGAAGGGATTCCGCTAAATGCGCAGGACGGATACGTGGAGATACAATGTAAGCGCTTGCCTGGAGGCTTCCTCAAACGCCTGTGTACTCCTCAGGGCTAGAAGAAACACAGTTCCACGATTCCGGCTGGTAAATTTTAGGTTGGATTGATACAAACGATGAAAATGTTCATATCCTGGAGACCTTTGTGGTTGTTTTTACAAGCATTGGCATTTTATCAAGAGGATCATTAAGTTCCTGATAAGATGAAGGTGAAGTAAGTTTTGCACAACCAGTGGTGAAAATATGTATTTGTAATTAGTTGAACAGAAAAGGGCAGCAAAGATAGCAACAGTGCGAAGCGGTGTTAAGAGCCAGTCTCTAGAGCTGGGTAAACTAGGTTGAAATCCCAGCTCTGCCGCTCACGGTGGTAAATTGTTTAATCTCTTTGTGCTTCAGTTTTCTCATCTCTAAAATGGGGGAGAATAGCACCTACCTCATGAGATTGGGTGGGAATTTATAAATATATGTAAAGCACTTTGTGCCCAGTCCATAGTAAGCAACACATAGGCATTTGTTATTATTATTGTTATCAGTAATAGTAGTAGTCAACAAAATAATAGACCAGGAATCAAGATTTAAGGAAGAAACTTTAACTAGTTTTGTATTCTTTTCTGCCCTGTTTTTGTTGCCTCTATCCTTGCATAGCAGCAGGTGATACTGACCTTAATTCTCTGTGTACTACCCCCAGAATGCTGGAGGCATCCTCTGTTGTCTGCTAAAAATTGAAATGTGCTGCTTACCAAATTCTAGTTAACTGTGTCAGCTTCAACCAAGAGTACATGATGTTTATTATTATCATTATTATTTACACAGTTTAAGAGGGTTGGTCATATTATTAACTATAATTATTTTCCTGACCTAATTGTCATACATTGATATGGTATTTTGTGTTTTCATGATACCGTACAACCATTAATTGTATGAGGAGGTCTGTTTAAAACAGGCTTACTTCGAGTCGTTTGCACTTGATGATGCCTGTCTTTGTATACTTACTATAAACAGAATAAAATACATGTTTTGCTCTAGATTAATATCAATATTTAGGTTGATGATTCATCTATTTGATATCTAGGTTCCAAGACATACAAGTTGGACTAGAATTGTAGTTGAGCAGATATTCTCCCTTTTTATTCTCATCCTAGAATGCCTGTAGTGACACCAACATTATCACCAGCCTTAGGCATGGGCAGAGTTGGACCCACTTCAACAAAATGGGATTTAAGAAAGCATAACAAAGTTCTCCCTTGGCCTCCAAAACACTGAGGTATGGCTGCCTGAAATTCCTCAGTTGGAACTTTATTTCTTTATTCCTTTGGCTTAAGCCAAATAAGAAATTTAGGCCCTGCTAAAATTAAAATACCCTTGGGAGAGATAATACATTAAACTCTATCGTTCCTTACACTTCAGGATGAATGAATTTGTTAAATTCCTTTCTGAATAAAGTTTAAAAAGCAAGAACATGGAAAAATCCATTAAAACTGAAACTCAAGGGGCTGGCCCAGTGGCGTGGTGGTTAAGTTGGCACACTCCACTTTGGCGGCCTGGGGTTTGCAGGTTCAGATCCCAGGCACAGACCTACACAATGCTCATCAAGCCATTCTGGGGTGGTGTCCCGCATACAAAATAGAGGAAGATTGACACAGATTTTAGTTAGCTCAGGGCCAATCTTCTGTACCAAAAAAAAAAAACCCCAAAATCAAAAAAACTGGAACTCAATTGGGATGGAGTTGAAGAAAGAAAAAATAGTTAGATAATACCTACTTTCAAAATTTGGCAGACTTCTGGTTAAATATATGGATTGAATTTAGCAACATTCCCTCCCGAAACGCCACTAAAAGTACAGTTAAGAGATTTTTCAAAGTACAAACTCAAAAAATACAAGAAGTACAGATAAATTAAGAGAGGAGATAACAACAAAATTTTGAGAATTGGAAAGAGCTGTAGAGGAGTAACTGATATGGCTGACCTAAGACAGCTGAATCCTAGGGCAACGATTAAGAAAACCAAGAACCAAAGTGATATATTAATGCTTTCACAGAGCTTCTCAATGGTTCAGGATGGGTAGCTTTAAGTACCTCTGCAAGCAGAGGTAAAAGTTGGGCCGAAAATAGCAGGATGGATTGGAAGTTGGTTGAGAATTGGAGAGACCCATCGCCACTCCACAAGATTGACTGACTGCCCCTTTCCCACCCTGGTGTAAGATTGGAGATTTGTTCCCAGAAAGGGCAAGGATTCCATACTGGGGTGCAGAGGTGGGGAGAAAGTGAAAATAAACCTTGTGCATGTTGAGACACATGTCCCCAACCCTTATCTTCCTCTAGGCCCCAAGTATAGGCATCAGGCTGATCCCTGTAGGTAGAAGAAAGGAAGGGTCCTCCCTGGAGAATCTGATTAGTTCAAGAGAAAAGATCTAACCTCCTGTGGAGGGAACCCAGACAACTCCACAGGGCAGTCCCCAGTTGACAAGTTCTGTCCGCGTGCTCAGAGCTTCAATCAGTTTTTTAATGCACCTCTCTTAAGTAGGATCAGACGGCCTGGGGTCATCAACAATTTGAGGAAAGCTTGGAATATTAAAGATAGAGGCCCAACGAAAAAACAGGACGAAAAAGAAACTTGGAAGAAACAGACTTGATTGCATTGACTAGATAGGGAGAGACAGGAAGACAAAACAAAATACAATCATTAGTATCCTCAGAGAGATTAAAGAAGATACTGCATCTATAGAATAAGAATGGTATGCTATTTTTAAGAAGCAGCATTTAGAGAACAAAAAAGGGACTCTTAGAAATCAAGAATATGATAACAGAAATGTAAAAACAACATAAAAAGGGTAGAAAATAAACTTGAAAAGTTTTCCCAAAGACTAGATCAAAAATTATATAGGGATGAAAAATGGGGGGAAATTTTTTATTTAGAGGGTCAGTCCAGTAGATCCAACATCTGAATAATTGGCGAGAATAGAGGGTGGAAATAATTGAACAGTTAATTCAGTATAATTTTATAAATCTGAAAGATGTAAGTTCCCAAACTGAGAGGGTCCATTAAATACCAGCACAATGAATGAAAAAGACTCACTCTTGCAGACATTATTGTGAAATTTCAAAACACTGGGTTCAAAGAATGCTCCAACAAATCTTCCAATGAGAGAAAAAAGAAAAGAAAACAAATTCATGCCAAGAACCCTAATTACAACAGCATTACACTTTTCAACAGCATCAAGCTGGGATAGCAACTGACTAGTCCGAATTGGAGCAGGTCAGAAGAGATACCTTCAAGAAGATGAAACAGATACGTGGAATATCTATGTGTTTGAGCAGACTGACGATACAGGAAGAGAACTTGATGTTGAATTAGTGATAAATACAAAGAAAACCAAGGAAAGAAAAAAAATCTAGATCATTATTAACACCAAGAAAATAAAATATTGTGCAGGAACAAGTAATCGTAGTATATATACATGGCTCAACTGTAAATAGTGTTTACATAACCATAATAATGTAAACACGTCTAATTAAAATTATGGTATTGCTGCTATATTGGGAAGATGAAAGGATGAATGTGTGGTGGGGGTGTATGTGTGTGTGAAAGCTACATCATTACGTATAGTGAGGAAGCATCAGATATTGCTTAAAACAGAAACATCAGGAAGACACATTAAGGGGGCCGGCCTGGTGGCACAGCAGTTGAGTGCACACGTTCCGCTTCGGTGGCTCGGGGTTCGCCAGTTCGGATCCCAGGTGCGGACATGGCACTGCTTGGCCAACCATGCTGTAGTAGGCATCCCACATATAAAGCAGAGGAGGATGGGCACGGATGTTAGCTCAGGGCCAATCTTCCTCAAAAAAAAAAAGGGAAGTAAGTAATAAAAGAGTTCACTCAAGTGTTGAAAGAGGTTGCCTCTGTGGAGCAGGAAATTGGCAGTGTTGGAGGAAGGACAGGGCCTTTCATAACAAACCTTGTAAAACTTTTTGACTAAACCATATGCTGGTGTAACCGATATGACCAAAGTTTGGCAAGGAGAGAAACTAGAGGCAAGAAATCATTTTGGGTGCTTTTTTAAAAGTTCAGACAAGAGGTTATACGGGTTAATACCTGTGGGAATAGGAAGGAGATGATAGGCTTGAAAGATGAGGTAAGAGCAAGCAAATTTTGCAGGTGATTAAATATAAAGAGTAAAGAAGAAGAAGTCAAAGATGTTGCTGGAGTTTCCAGCTTGGACGCAGTTAGGTGACGATG